CTTGTGACTACATCACTCCAGTTCTTGCCTCTGTCTTTGTATAACCTTATTCCTTTTGTAACATTTTCTGTCTCATATCTTCTGAGTTAGGCCTATTCTAAATTAAAAATAATGTCATAGCAGAATCTTTATATATTTTCGAAGACCCTTCCTTTCTCTAAATACATTCACATTCATAGGTCCTAGGGTCAGGAGGAAAATATGTCTTTCTGGAGGACACCATTCACCCCACTGAAGAGATGTCTGTGTTTGTTGAGTGAATAACAATGACCTATATGGCCCACGTGACTGACCTTGCTCTAGCTCTGACCTCATCTTTTATATTTGTACTTCCTGCTGCTGCAATCCTACCCCATCCCAAGTGATACTCTAATACTCCAGGCCCAGCCATGTGCATCCCTCCTCTTACATGTTCTTCTCTACACTTGCCACATTCTGTGTGTCATCTTCTTGATGAGGCCTATTCAGCACTTCTACCACACTCACCCAGCTCCTCCTGAGACATCCTGCATCCTGAACATTATAGGTGCCCACCCACATGTATGGATAGGGTAAGTGATAGATGGATGGTTGGTGGGTGAGCAAGTAGGCAGATGGGTAGATAAATAGGTGGCTTAATGAGTTAATGAATTGATGAGTGGATAGGTGGATAAGTCATTGTGGATGGGTAGATGGATGGTTGAGTGGTAGGTAGGGAGATGGATAGATTGATGGATGTGCATAGATGAATTGGTAGATAGGTGGGTAGATGAATGGGTGAATAGGTGGATGAATGGATAGATGAATGGATTAGTGTATGGGTGGGTAGATATATGGATAGATGGATGAGAGGTTAGGTGGATAAATAGGTGAGTATGCTATTGTGAGATGTGTGAATGGGTAGATAGGTGAGTGGATGGATGGATGGTTAAGTAGATGGGTAGGTGAATAGACAGGTAGATGGGTTGGTGGATGGGTGGTTACATGAATGAGTAGAAGGGTAGATGGGTAGGTGGGTGTGGGGATGAGTGGGCAGATAGGTGGCTGGATGAGTGAGTGGATGGGTGGATGGATGGATGGATGCTATGGATAGGTGGATGGATAGATAGGTAGATGAGTGTGTGCATCAGTAGATGGGAGATAGATGAGTGAATGGGTGAATGGGTTCATGGGTGGTGAGTGGGTAAATGGGCAAGGATAGGTGGGTGGGTGTATGGATATAGGTAGATTAGTGGGTGTGTAGGTAGGAAGATGGATGGTGGATGGCTAGGTGGGCTTGGTGGATGAGGGACAGATGGGTGGGTGGAAAAGTATACATCAGTGGGTGAGTCAGTAGATGGAAGGATGGGCTGCTGGATGGATAAATGGATGAGTGGGTAAGGGATGGATGGATGAATGGTTAAATGTATGAGTAGGCAGGTAGGTGGGTGTTTGGGTAAATATGTGGATATATGTATGGAAGAGATGAGTGGGAGGGGAGGTGGATGGATAGTTGGTTGGAGGATGGAAAAGCAAGAGGATGGATGAATAGGAGTTAGAAAGTTGGGCAGACACAGAAACAAACAGATAACTAGACAGATAAATAGCTGGATCTGTGGAGGGAAGAACTTCTTTAACACACAGATTTTGCCAAGAAGGAAAAGGAGAGAAAAGAGAGCCCGAGATTGTCCTGGAGAACCCTGGGTGGGGGTGAGGCAGCCCTTAAGGGGTTTCTGAGAGGTAAGGAATAATCCAAAAGGTCTGGGCAAAGTGGTTGATTATACCCAGGGCTTCATGGAGGTCAGAGGATGTCATGCAGGTACTCCGGAAGGCAGGTGTCCATTGCTGTGAGAGTGAGAAGCCACCCTGGGAGCTCTAGGGGTGCAGCAAGGGACAAGTGGAGGCAACAGGAGGTGCCAAGAACTCCAGGTTTGGGTGATCTTGGCTAGCAAGTCAGAAAGGGACCAGCCTGAGAAAGGGGGTGAGAATCTGGAGCCTGGCCACCCTAATGCCAGCTCCACAGGGGCCTAGGTCACTGTAGAGTTGACAAAGAGTGGACAGGCCACAGTGGGCTTTCAGGAGCTGATGAGTGGGAACACACTGCACTGTCCTCAGGGAGGTGGGCAGCTCTGGGCCTCCCTCCAGCCACAGCAGACACTGAAGGCTTTCAGAAGACTCACTGGCTGGGAAGGTGGTCTGCCCAGAGTATGGAGTTCAGCTCCAGGCCCCAGCCTAGCCTCAACTCTGTCAGGCCAGGGCTGTCTCAGGAGCCCAGTCCCCTCTATTTCCACCGTGCTTCTCTCCAGTTTTTCTCTTCAAGGACGAACTTGCTTCTTCCAAGCAGTCCCCATGACCACTGCACACCCTGAATTTGGAAGCAGCCCTTGAATATGTATGCTACCCTGGAGATACCCCTGCATACCTCCGGTGGTCACACCCCACAGCATGGCCAGCAAAGAGACCCTGGAGGGAAAACAAAACTAAAAGCTAATGCTAACCGGTACGCTGTCTTGTACCTGTAATTTCAGCACTTGGGGGGCTGAGACAGGGGGATTGGGATTGTTATGAATTCTAGGCCAGCATGGATATCCATATGCAGTTCCAAGCATTTCCAAACTTGCCTGGGATAGAGTGTGAGACCCTATTTCAAAAAAACTAACCAAACACAATAGAAAGAAATGCTGGTGGGAAGCAATGACTGGGAAAAGGGCAGGGTCCCAGGCACAGGGCCTCATCAAGCTGCCTCAGCCTGGGCTCCTCCCACATGGGGGAAGGGCAGATGCCCACCTGCCTTGTGATGGTGCGGGGGAGGGGGGGCACTAGGGAAGAATGAGGAGATCCAAGCCAGGCTTCAAGCATCTAGAGTTGGCCTCACTTTTCTCCCAGGGTCAGGGACCCCGAAGACCATCGCCACTGGACAGGTGGATCTAGTGACTACTGGGGACAGGCTCCCACAAAGCCTTCAGAGAGGGAACAGTGGAGGTGACTACATGTGCAGGGAGCCCATCCCAGGTGTTTGTCACCCTGAGTCCCCATGTCCATCATTAACTGGGATTCCTGAAGTATCCTGGTCTCCACCCCCCACCCCCAAAGCTAAGGGCAATGTTCCCCGGGATGGATATCCGTGGCACAGGACTCATTGGAAAAGCATCATAGGATCCCTCTAGCCCCACAGCACCCCATCTTTGAATATTTGGGGCCTAATGTTGTCCCCCAACCCACTGGGTTCCTCGGAGAGTGCTTCACTGAGCCCACTTCTTGTGGGACGAATCAGAGGGATGCATACTTCAAAGGCCTTCCTCTTCACCTGCTGCCTCCCAGGTACCAGGCACCCTTCTTTTTCTTCCTTCCCACCCAACTTCCCCTCCTTTTGACCCCCAAATAAAACAGAAAAGAACTCAGAAAATAGTATTTTAAATGCTTTATTAGGCTTGCAAGCGTTAACAGGTTAAAAACAAAACCCAGCTTTGGATTTTGCCAGAAATAGCATGTTAAAGGGACTGAGTTGGGGCAAACACCCGGGGCCACTGCTAGATCACACAGACAGTGGCACAGGTGACAAATGGCGTTCGACGCGTGGGGGTCTTCAGGTGATGACAAAGGGAGGGGCCCAAGAGGGGACCCCCCGAAGACAATAGGGAAGAGACAAGATGGAGGGCCACACTAGGCATGGGAGACCAGGTAGGTGCCTGCTTCAAGGTGGTCTATGATTGGGGAGAACTGCAAATTCGGGGACACAGAGGATGGTCGGCAAATGCCCCTGAAAGCACCCATCCCAGTGAGGCACATTAAGTGGGTGGGTGTCCAGCTGAATGGGCAGGTAATTTAGGGTGCCTCGAGATCTTTTGGGTATCAGGCCAATTCACACTCTCCAATTATAACAATTTACTTCTTTAAGTTTCTGTCCAATGTTCCGAATGGCCCATTCTTCAGGCACTTGCCGAGGAACCCTCTGTGCCATGGTCGGGCTGACACACACCGCCCCCAGGGTGGTGCCAGTCCTGTCACCTGGGTCCAGAAGCCTCAGGCCTCTAGACTGCTAGTGGACTGTTGGGCAGGGGGACTGCACTGGAGGCAGAAGTGGGGGTGAGGTAAACCTCCAGCCGCCCTGGTCCCTGCCACAGTCCTAGGTACCGTGGGGTGGCTGCTACGGCTCACCAGACCCTCGGGCCTCGGGGTCCAGGCGACCCCTTGTACACAGCTCTCCCGGCTCTGCAGGCTTTAAGCCTCCCAGCTTCCCCAACTCCAGGCCTCATCCCACCTTGCCCCCAGGAGGTCTGTAGAGCTCCAGACCTCCTGGGGGCAAGGTGGGATGCTGAGGAGTGGGCAAGATGACACTGAGGGACGGGGAGGAGGACTCCCCAAATGCTCAGAAGGCGGCCACTTGCTCCCGCCTGATGGAACCTGTCTACTCTCACATCTATATCCCCTTCCCCCCCAACTGGCAGTGGCCAGCTGGGGGCCCCATCTTTGTGGCCTCCGAGCACCATCCTGACACTTGAGGGGACACTGCCCCACGCCCCCTCCACTTCTCAGAACTCCTGGGACCAGCCACTGTCCTCAGAAGCCAGGCCAGGCAGCGGCCTTCTCAATTCCTTTTATTTCTCTGTGGGTGCGTGGCCAGCACACAACAGAGACTCCACTCCCAACTCAGGCCAAGCGACAGAGACAGATTACAAACAAAAATCATAAGGGGTGATAAATGGCGGAGAGCAGGACATGGTGGTACTTGGTGATGATAGCTTAATGCATTCATTACGTGGTCACTGCTCCCCTGTTACTTAGGGAGTGGGTACAATTTGATTATGAGCGCATAAAAAGCTAAGGAGGGATAAAAAAAAAAAAAAAAAAAAAGGAAAAGATGCCCCAAGAAACAAAAAGAGGGGAATAGATCAATTGGCATAAAATTTGGGGTCCTAATTCTGTAATTCTGCAAGTTGACCTGTGCCTCCTCCTGATTCTTCCATCCAAAACCTCTCTGGGACCACTTCCTACCCATAGCTCCCCCCACCCAGCCCCCACTGCCCCCCACCCACCCCTCCAACCGCCAGACTTCCCACACTCCCCACCATCAGTGTGAGTCTCCTGGGGAGCCCCTAAAAGGTGGGGGCTCCCCAGGAGACTGACAGAGATGGCCCATAGGTGTGCTCAGGGTAGGGGGTGTCCCCCAGATCTTTCCTCCTAGAAACACACCCAGGGTCAGGCTACTCGGGCAGCATGTCTCACTTGGCAGTACCATCTCCTTATCTGGCCAAACTTATTCTACACTGGGGGAGGCCAACGCATAAGGTGGATAGGCATTGGCCCACATTGGGGGGGGGGGCTGGGGAGCACTGGCCCAGATGGAAGTGAGCCTTGTAAGAACACCTCCCTCCCTAGGAAAGACAGAACTAACAGCCTGATCATACACAGGGCCCACAAGCAGCAGCAGAAACTAGATGGACTGGGGGGGGGGGGGGGGAAGGCTAAAACCATGCAAACTGCTCAGGGAATTTGGGATGAACCTTGGTTTGGGCAATGTGGTTCTAATGGGAGTTATTTAGCAATTTCAATGTTCTCATCTAATTGTGAGGGGTGTGCATACCTATATGAGTGAGTGTGCGTGCGTGTGTGTGTGTGTGTGTGTGTGTGTGTGTATGTGCGTGCGTGCGTGTGTGTGTGTGTGTGTGTGTTGTGCGTGCGTGCGTGTGTGTGTGTGTGTGTGTGTGTGTGTGCATGCATGTCTGTGTGTCTGCAGGGATGAGTATAAAAGTGCTTTTTAGGATAAGTGAGAGTTTTGGAACTTGGGGGCTTGTGCCAATTAAGTTTTGTTTCCAGTTTTCATACTCTGTTCCTTTCCTTGGGTTCTCTCACCCAGCCCGGTGGTGACATGATGACATTTGTGATGGAATGGCCAGTGAAGAAAGAGTTTGGGTGGCCTTTGTTGTTCTCAGCCAGCTTAAGCTAAAAGCACCCTATCTGAGTGGTGACAAGGAGAGGGCACTGAAGCATGACATGCCACCTGGAAAGTTTTGGGTCCCCTTCCTTTCTTCTTGGGTTCTGAGATCCAAGTCTAAGCCAATTTGACTAAAGATCCAAATGGGAAGAAGAGGAGGGGGGGGGCCGAATTATTTTATTTTGCCAATTGTTTTTAAGTCAATTAATTTTTAGTTTGTTTTTAGCCAATTGATTTCTTTTGTTATTTAATTTTTAATTAATGGTTCTGGTGTTTCTAAAAAGCCAATTTGTTTTAAAGGGACAATTTGTTTAAAGATTTTTTTAGAATAATTTGGGGGTGTCAAAATTTTTGGGTTCTTTAGAGTCAATCAATTTGGTTTAGTTGTTTAGAGCCAATTGATTTGGTTTTGAAGCGTTTGCTTGCCCGATGGTGTGGGGCAAAGTAGCCTGATGTGGGGAGGCGGGGCATGGGGGGAGGGGGGGGAAGCCTAGGGAAGGAAGTGGAGCAGAGAGATCTTAGTGTGGGACATGATGGAACTGTCCCTGCTCAAGAGGAGGCCACAGAGTGATGGTATTACATTGCAGAATTACCAAACAAATTTGGTTCACTGATGACTGCTGGACATCTCCGAAGAGGCTCCCCCGTGGGCGGGATCGATGGGTGGTAAGGCGATCAGGGGACGGTGACGCTTGGCCTCTCTGAACGCTTCGAGCTCTCTGGCGAGCATGCGACCCCGGCGGGCACGCAGGAGGGCAGGCAGGCCTCTGCGCAGTCGTTGGAAGGACCGTCTCCAGGTGTCATATTGGAAAAACTTGCCCACGGGGTATCTGGGGAAGTCGTCCTGAAGAGGAGGCGCTAGTCAGCAGGTGTCAGGGTAGCACGTTAGCCTGAGGATTCAGCCAGGTCTCACACGCCCCCACCCCACCCCCCAAAGTCACACCAGCTCATGACAACTCCCCACAAATACCTATGTTTGTGGGCAGAGGTCAATAATAAAATGTGGGTGGACTCCATAACACCCCAAATCAAGACGCTGATGGTCTCTTTGTCCCACCCCCCACCATTCTCTCAACCCCACCCCGCTACCTAAAAATTTGCCCTCTGTCCCAAGCCTCACCGGAAGCACGGCCAGAGAAGTTGACACGTCCCTCTCAGACTTAGCGGGGGTGGCACAGTATGTCTCCAGGAGGGCCAGGTCACAGCGGCGGAAGCAACATTCTTCCACGATGCCACGGCTGCGACGGTGGTTGGCACGGCTTGAGGGCCTGCCTGGAAGTTCCACAGGACAGAGATCTTTAGTCACCATCAGCTGGGGGCAGCACCCATTGGGTTGGCCTCCCCAGATCCCCAAGGGAAGGCTACAGAAGGAAGTAACTACCTCTGCCCTCCCACCAGGCCCTGCTCTGATACTAGGTCACCCTGCGGGGATGAGGTAGAAGTGTGAGCCAGGTGGGCCAAGATGCCCAGAAAGGAGAAATAAAGATGCATGCTGCAGGACCAGCCCCTGGCCTCTGGTGCCTCCTGCCTGGCAACTAACATGGTACAACCTCTCTGTCCCACAAACTCCATGGAGACCAGAGGCCACACTGGAGTGGTTTGGAAAACAGGGAGGAGAGGGTGAGCCCCACAAGGGGGCTATGGTGGACACAGGTGTGGTCCCTGGACTTGGGGTCCTGGCCTGGTGCCACCTTGAGCCTGAGGGGCCCACCCCCAAACCCCCAGCACTGAGCTGAGACAGGGAAGAAAGGGCAGGAGAGAACAAGACGGGAGGGGAGGAGTGAGGTACCCAAAATCCACTCCCTTCTCTTCTCCCGTCTTTCCCCTCTCCCCCACATATTCAGGTCCGAGGCTAGGCTGAGGGGTAGAGCCACTGAAGGCTCCACCTTGGACCCTCCTATTCTGGAAGCCTCTCTGTGCAGGAGTGGCTCCCTGAGCGAGGGCTGGCCCTGCAGTGCCAGAGGGCTTCAGAGTGCCCAGGAGCAGGAGCAGTTTCCAGAGGTGTGAAGTGGGAGTATACTCAGAGCAGTTCACAGGCAGGTAGGTAGAGGTGCAGAGGAGGAGGCCGCGTGTCCAGGACCATGTGGGGAAGATAGAAGGGCCCATGCCAGCAAGGAGAGTCATCCATTCTGGTGCCCCTGCCCGCCCAGGCATGCCCCACCTGGGTGTCCCCATCTTCTGTAAGCAGGGAGCCCAGGCCCAGCCCCCCGGGCTGGGAAATTAAGAGAAGTGTGAGCAATATTGAAAGCAGATAAGCACCCCTGAATGTGGATGGTCAAGGTCTGGCTCTCCCCTTGTACCGCCCGCCCCCTGCCCCCCCCCTCCCCCCCTCAAACTGCATGTACACGCTCAACCTGGCCAAGACCCGACAACCACATTTGGTTTTACTTTTTATTAACTTTTAAAACTATCGAACTTTCAGAGTGTGAGACCACAGGCCTGCCCAAGGGGGAGGGGCAGCGTCAGCCCAAGGCCAAACCAGTATATCTTAACCGTCACCCCACCCAGGGAGGCCTGGCCCTCCCCCTCCCCCCACCCCACCTCTCTGGAGTGACTTACTGAAGTAAAAGCCGCGGTCCGAGCAGACAAACTGAAGCGTGTCAACAAGCTCCCCACCGCACAGGGTCTCGCTGGGGCGGTAAGCAGCAATGCAGCACCAGGCGAAGGCCAAAGAGACGAGAAGCACCAACATCGACTTCCCCACTGGGGTCCCCATTGGTATCTGGAAAAAAAGAGATGCAGGCTTTGAGTGAGGGGATCCCAGCCACACCCCTGGTCCCAAGATGCTCCTCTCCATTAAAGACACCTATCATCTCTTAATTGAAAACGCAATTAAATTAGAAAGGCAGCTTGCCCATTCTGTATTTGACCTGCAGAAAACTGGGAGCACTTGAATGGCTGAGGTCAAAAAACCACTTGCGTGTGAAGAAACTCAATGGAGCCCGGGAAGGCACCGCGTGGTGGCTTTGAACTGTAAGAAACCCTCGAGGACCACCCACCCATAGGCGCAATTGCTGCTTGACCACACCCATAGCAGCAGGGGCCAGCGCTGGACACTGGACCTGGTTTCCAAGTGATGACATCATGGGGGTGGAGCCAGCCCAAGGGCCCATCACCATTGCCACTCCTACTCTGGCCTCGAAGCACTGGCCAAGATGGCAGACAGCTCCACCCCACCCACCGTGGAGCATGTGCATCCAAAGGGACCAGTCGCCAACCTCCCTGCCCCCCCTAAGCTGGCCACCCCTCCCTAAGCAGCAGAGCCACCTCCACCCATCCAACCCCCACTCCCAGGCCATGTTGAGCAAGGCTCAGGCCAAGAATCCAATGGTTAGCGCAACGGGACTGCTGGCATTCCTGTGAGCCTTGCTCTCCAGGGTCACCCAGCCCTCCAAGTCCAGACTTCCCTAGGCACCTCAGAGCTCAGGAGAAAGCCTAAAGTCCCATTCCAGGCCTCAACCGTTACTAACCAAGGTCAGGGACCCTAGAGAGTCCCCCTATGACCCACAGGATCATCTTTCTGGTAGGAACTAAATTCTACCCAGGGTACTAGAGACAGCAGTTCAGGTCCCTGGGAGGCTGAACATTTCAGTCTGGAGGGACACACCCCCCTCCACGGGCCACAAATCGTGTGGGCACAGGCTGGGGCAATGGTTTTCTTTAGAGATGAGAGGCCACCACGGCCCAAAGTAAGCCACCCTTGACCCTGCAGAAAGTAATGCCCTCCAGACCGCAGTGCCAAGCCTCTGCTCCACAGGCCCAGAGGATTTCTTGCTGCAAAGAAGACATGTTGAGAGACCAATGCGGAATAGTCAAGAAGCAAACTTGTTTGAGCTCCCTCGGGTAACTAAAAGTCACCTTTGTCCACCTCCTCTACAAGAGCCAGACCGTCCGCCTAACACCCTTTATGCCAGGACCACCGCCTTACAATCATCCGGCCATAGCTGCAACAATTAGTCCTGGGGGTGCGGGTGGGGGATGGGGAAACGGAGCTGACCTCGAAGTCCCTTCCCAAAGCCAGATCACACTGGCTCCAGGTCCAGCCCAAGGTGGCCAGCAGAAGCAGGCAGAGACTGACCAAGAGGTAAGGGATAGGTGAGGGCCCAGGGAAGGCCCAAATTTGCTGGAAGGGGCAGGCGGAGGGAAAGGAAAAAGGAGAGAACGGAGCAGGTGAGGAAGCTTGGGGCCAGGGGGAGCACAGGAGAGGCCGAGGGAGGACGAAGGCTTGTGAGAGGCAGCAGGCCCGGCTGCAAGGGCAGAGGCCCCAGGCTAGCCGATGCCCTGACCACCCCATGGGGCAGGCCGGAGCGGGATGGCAGCAGGGTTCTGGCTCCACGGCCCTGGTTACCTGAAGTTGGATAAGGAGGCCGCTGGGGCTGCAAGAGGTGGAAGACAGGAAAAGGCTGGAAGGCTCTCACAGGAGAAGCTAATGTCCAGTTTGCGAGCTGGTCAGTGCCTCGGCTTTTATGTCTGAGTCGGCTCCTCCCAGTCCCGGCTCCACCCTACCCCCACCCCCCTCCCTACTGACCACTCCCCCCGCCCCCTTTGCACCCGCCCCCTCCCTCCTTCCAGCCAGTCCCTTCACTCCTGCACCCCCCAACAGCTAGCCTTGGACCATTCCTTAGCAAAGCACCACCAGTGGGAGGGGGGGCCTCATCGTGCGCCCCCAGCCCTCTCTGCACAGACTCATGGGGGCGGGGAAGGGGCTCCTTCCCACATCCTCCTATGGAAAGTTCCACCCAGTAAAAGGCAGGGGCAGTTAGTTATTCCTCTTTAGACTGTAACATTTCTGCCCTTCTAAGCCCGAAACTGGCCCCTCTCCCTACATTTTAGGTTGAGAATGTTGGGGACAGAGTTGGGGTGTGCATGTGTGTGTGCGTGTAGGGGGGAAAGAGCGAACTGTGGCATCTGGCCTGACTCCTTTGCCAATTTTTGGGGGGGCCCTAGCCCCGCCCACCCACTATTCCTCTCTCAGCCTCATTGGCACCAAGTCAACATACCAGGGTGGGCTTTGGAGACTCTGCCCCCCTCCTCATCACTCAGCACCCTGCGGAGACAGGGCCTGAACAACACCAGTCATACATTTTAAAGCAGTTTACTCCCCCTCCCCAACACGCACCAAAGGACCAGAAATCTCCAGTGAGTTCAACTTACACACCCCCTCCCCACCAGTCCTCATACCCCTGCCCCCTCCCCCACCTCACGACGCAATGGGGAGAGCGAGTTTGCAGAGGGAACGGGCCCCCAGCCCCCACCCCCGGCCGCCCCAGTCCCGCCAAGCCCAGGCCGCTGGGGCCCCTGAGAGCCCTTACCTGGAAGCCGGCGAAGTTACCACCCAATCTCCCTGCTGCGTGTTTGCAAACCGAAGAGCGGGCGAAGGCCCCTCTGCCGGGCACTCCTCTGCCAGCGCCGCTCCGACCGAGTCGCGGGGGCCGAATGTGCGACGGGCCAGAACGGGGGGATGGCTTTTTTGGTGGGGGGGGGGGGACGACGTCTCTTCTGCTTCTTTAGGGAGGATGGGCTGTCTTAGGGCTGGGGCGGGCCAGATATTGTACTTTGGGGGGGAAAAGGTATCGGGAAATGAGGTCAGCTGTTGTATCAAGGATAGTGGGGGGCAGAGATAGTGAGAGAGACAGAGTGAACGTGAAACGGGGGGGACCACAGAGAGGGAAAGAGGAAGAAAGGACAGCGAGAGGCGGGTAGGCTCACAGCGGGAGAGGACAGCACCGAGAGAAACAGAAAGCTTATAATTAATCCACTTGGGTAGGCGAAGGCAGAGGGCGGACGTGAAGGGGGAGGGAGTCTGAGGCGAGGAGGAGCGGGGAGGGGGCAGGAGGGGAGCCTAGGAAAGGTGGCGGGTAAGTGCGTGCGCGGGGGGGGGGGGGGCGCACCGCGAGCAGAGGAAAGGACGCAACTTCGAAGGGCCGAGGACGGTGCTGAGGGGGGAGGAATGGAGGCGTCACCCCGGCCACGGGCACCCAGCTCGGTTAGGGCCGACGGAGCCCTCGGCCGTCGTAAGCCCGGGCCTCTTGGGGGGGGACAGGCGTGGCGGCGCCGCGGCCACTCGGGACAGCAGCGAGAAGAGGGGAGCGGCCGGGCTGCGCGCCGGGGAGGGCTGGGAGGGGGAGCGCGGGGGATGACAACGCCGGCGACCTGCAAGCCGGACTGCCTGCGGTGGGGACCGCCTCCTCGAGCGAAGCAGGAATGGGGTGTTGAGGTAGATAGAGGAGGAGGCGGTTGGGAGATCCGCAGGCCCGACGGAGCGCGGCCCCGCCGACGGCGCCCTGCGCGGGAGTTAGCAGCGAGGCGGCGGACGGCGTCGACGCGGGGCCGCCAGCCCGGATGGAGGCGCTGGCGGGCCGAGCGCGGGCGGGCGTGGGCCAGGAGGCGGGGGCGGCCGGAAGGGGGGGCCGGGGGCCGGCCTGGCCTCACGCAGCTCCGCCGGAGAGCAGGCAAACTCCGGGCGCCAACTCCCGGCTCTTATAGCCGCGCCACTCCGCGGCTCCTCGCCCGCTCGGGCCCGCTGGCCTTACGCCCGCGCCAATGGGCGCCCGTAGGGCCCTCGCCCCGCCCCGGGACCGCCCCCGCAACTCGAGCCATGGGGGGGGGAACGCGGGCCGGGGGCCCTGGGCATGGGTGTGCCGGGTGGGGGGGCGTGGGGCGCCCCAGCAGGCCCACGAAATACCGGGTATCCGTTCCAAAAAAATCAAGGCCCTATGTCATGTTTCCGGGGTGCCCTGTGCTTGTGCAACAGGGGCGACAGGGGCGCGTGGTGTGAACCAACGTGCGTGGCACCCTAGGCCTCAGTGCTAGTAAGGGACCTGTGCTCAGTTAGAGGGTTACAAAGTAGGCGCATCCTGGCATGTAGAGTTCAGGCGCAAGTAGCTGGGTGCTGGGTCGAGGGTCCTCACAGGGACCTACCTCCCAGGCAGTGCACGGTTCCCATGATCGGCTAGGGTGGAGCGCGCAGCCGCCACCTGCCTGAGCAGGCAAGGAGGACTGTGAGGCACCTCGAGTTGCAGCCAGATCCTGAGCGCCCCCCGGTGCTTTGCGTAGGATACCTGAGCAGTGTCGGGGGGCCACCAGGTGCGCCACGAAGGAAAGGCTGGTTTGACCACGCCAGAGTTGGGCCCTGCGTGGGGCCCAGCGCAAAGTCTGCATCCTAACGCAGAAAAAGAAGCAGGGCTGGAAACGTAGCTCAAACCATACCTGTAAACCAGAGCTCACTGGAGTGCGTCTAAGCAGCACGCCTTTGGGACCCACCCAGAATACCTGGATAACAGTTCCCTGTTATCAATGCGATAAACTTGCGTAGGCGCGGGTTTGGCCCCAGGGGCCACCACGATAATTTGAGGGTCTGAGGAAACCATCTCCTGGAGGGTTCGGACGATGTAAGAAGCCATTGTTATTTTTACGGAGTCGAAACCACTCATAAACCGGCCCCGCCAGCCCACGCCGCACACCTCTAGGAGTGGAAGGGGCCATCACCGGCGGAAACCCGCGCACCCCGGGCTAACCTCCGGGCCCGGCCATCAATCACTGAGCCCGCGCTCCGCGCACGCCTCCCCAAGCCCTCAACCGGTAGGACTGGAGGCTCCCAGCTACCGGAGCGCTCAGCGCCTCTCCCGGGTTTGGCTTTGCCCAACGCTCTGCCTTTCCCGTTTCCTGGCCGCCAGGCGCTTTCCCTACCACTGCGTTGTTTGCAGAGTGCAGGCAAAGTGGCGCGTGTTTCGGGGCACCCAGCCTAAGGGAGCGCGGCCTCCGAGGGAGAAGCCAGCATCCCGCTCCAGCGCTGCTCGGCAGCAGCCCTGGGGACTAGCTGCGAGGTAGCCTGTTGCCCGCAGCCGCAGAGCTGGGGCACCGGGAGCGCGCCACGGGGAGCTCACCGCAAGGCCGAGGGTCGCGTCCGCAGGCGCAGGAGGATCCGAGGAGAAAGGCTGGAGAGGATCTGTGGAGCGCAGTGGACGTTGCTGAAGGTGAGCGAGACCCCAAGGCAGTCCCCAGTGTCCCGGGGCAACGCCCAGTCCGTTGGAAGACCCGGGGACAATGCCCAAATTTGGGGGAAACTGGGGGCAATGCCCAGTCGTTTTCCTGGACGAGGGAGCAGCACTGCCCACGTCCTGGCCGTCGCGCAGTGTCCTGAGCGTATTTGGGGCACACAGACTTAGCCAAAATCGGAGCTGTCTCTGGGACCCCGTAGGAAACTGAAGAGGCCGAACGAAACTAATGTTATGCGCAGGACAGGGGAAGCTGCCGAGAGTGGCCAGCGGAAACAATGCTCAAATTTCGGGGATCCCAAGTCAGACCCTTGTTTGACTTGCAGCCCTGTGGATGACTGTCCCGAAGTAGGGGGACTCAGAAGAGACTCCACAAATGGGAAAACTGGTTAATAGCTAAATTTGAGATTACAGAAAAAAATAGACTCCCAAGTTGGGGAATGAGAGAAATTATTGCATGCAAAAATAGGGGGCATTTTGATCCAAGCCTAACTTGGGGAACCCAACATCTTGGTCAGCAAACTTAGGAAAACCCACAAAAACCTAGATTAATTTGTAGAAGTTAGGTAGTTTGTTGTTGCTGTTGAATTTAAGAAAATTCCCAACATGAAATTTGGGGGAGCTTCATTTTAATTGCTTAAAATTGGGAAATGGGATTTTAGGGATCCAGATCAATTATTTTGGGGGGCAGGAGTGGAGATTAAGATTTACCCTTGAGGCCAGTGGAACTTGTCGCCGCCGGGAAAAATCACCTCTATAATTTCTGTGGCTTCAAAGAAGTCCTCCAGAGAATGGGGAAACGCTGTCTAAATGTAGGGGAATTGGGAGTGCAAGCAGTCCATTTGAGGAAGACAGAAAATCGATGTCTTTTAATATTTTAATTTCTTAGACAGATTTCAGTCCATCATTTTGTTGAACAAGGGGGAAGTTTGTTTTCTTGGACAATGTTTGCGCTTGGAGAAACATGCGCGAGTTTTAGGGATCAATAAAAATTACCCAATAGATGTTGAAATCCAAATTGCAGGGAGTAGAATTAGTAGCTAGGAAATGTGTAAGACACAGACTTTTAAAACCTAGGATTTGGGGGATCTGGGACGTTTTTCACTGTGCTTGGGGGACCATAAAACATTGTCTAAATTTAGGGAGACTCTGGCAGGAGTCATAAATTCAAAGTTCATTAAAGTTTAATAAAAACCCAACTCTTTGAAAGAAAAAAAAGTCTCAATTTGTTTTGGAGTACGTGAATTTGGGGGCCTCAGGAAAATAATTTCTGAATCTAAAGTTTCCCAGTATCCTTGGAACACTTTAGGGGCAATTCCTACATTTCAAGGAATAGAGATTATGAGTTCCTAAATCCTAGGACCTAAGAATCAATGCCCTAAATTTGTAATGTGCAGAGATTGTGCAGGGTGACTGGGGAAGAAAAGCTGAAATGTAAGAGGCTGAGTGTGTGCATGGCTGGTACCGCAGCGGGACATAGTAGAAACTTTCCGTGACCCAAGGCTAACTAAACGTGTGTTGGGGCCTGGAAAACATTGCCTAATGTTTGAGGGTGCTCAGCATGGGCCAACATGGGGAATAAGGAGAAGGGTCCAGGATGGTACTGGACTTTGCAACTGGTGTTTGAATTAAAAAAAAAAAAAATTTTTTTTTTTTTTTTTTTTTTTTAAAAAAAAGGACCCAGGGACTCTTGATACTTGGTGCAGAGAAAATACTCAGAATGTTCAAGGATTGGGGACATTCAACATTCTAGTATAAAGAAAAAGGCTTTGGCCAGTGGTTAATTTTGTGCCTTCTGTGACCCAGAGAGACATGTATGAATTGAGAGAGCATGGAAAGCTCTCTCTTGCCACATGTGAGCACACGCCTTAGATCATTGCTTAGCCTGCTTTGGGAGCTTGAGTGAGAACGTCTGTATTTTAAAAAACATAACAGTGGCCAGAAAGCTTTCAAGAGCCCTAGAAAACCCCAACTCCCGAGACCCTTGTGTGTTGGGCGGGGGAAATGGGGGTTCTTGTTGAGTGAGTTTTAGGGGTAATTTGTGAAAGCACTCCCTCGATTTTCTGGAACCCGGGAAATGAGAGTGTAGGTTGCTTGAATTGCCTACCTTTAGGGGAGGACATAGTAAGAAAGGCTAGAATTTCGAGGGTTCCAGGGAAATTGTTTAGGAGGTCTGAGTGGATTTCAACTTTTAAAATTTGGGGTTGGGGCAACAGACTACAGAATCTAGTGTATGATGTTCCACGTTAATGGAACTGGAGGGTGGGTGGCGGGGAAACAGAGTTAGCGGGAACAGTGCTGTAGATATAAAATGATGTGCTAAGGACACGGGAAAATAGCCCCCCGCCCCGTGAATACAGCGCCTAAATGCTGTGAAACTGTCCACCCTCCCGAGTAAGAAAAATTTGTCAGAAGGACTCAAGACCCCCGGCTTACGTTTAAATTTTAGGGAACTGAGTTAAGACCTTGCATATGAAACTAAAGAGACAGAAGCAAACTCGGGGGGCCCAGGCCACATAATCTAATTTTTGGGAGCCAGCGGAGGCTTAATTCCCACCTTTTGGAATGTTTGGAAATCAAATATCAAAAAAAAAAAAAAGTTTCACTTGTGAGAAAAACAAACGCTGAATGATTTTAGAGGGCCCCCGGAAAGCAATGCTTCAATTTTGAGGATCCCAAGGAAACAACGCCTGAGGTGCAGAGAAGCTGCCGAGTTGCTCTGGCTGCACGTAGACTACAGAGAACTAGAGCTGCATTTGAGAAACTGAGCTCCCAGGCGGCGAAGGACGGGGCGCAAGGATCCGCGGTGCCAGGGAACTCACACGGAGCAGGGGCGCCCTCACGGGGGAACGCGGGCGCGGGGAAGGGGAGCAGGCAGAGCAGACAAGGAGCACCGGCGCCGGCGAGCGTACGCCCGAGCCAGCTGCATTTTTCGTTCTTTTGCCTTATAGCCACCCAGAGGGCTTGGGTGGCGGAGGCCAAGCCGGACGGGCGTCGGCGAGGGAGCGGACCGTTGAGCAAGCAGCCGCGCGCTGCTCCCGGAGGCTCCCTGGGCTCCGGGCGCCCCGTTCGGCTCCCCGCCGCCCCTGCGCCCCACGCGTTCAGGCGCCGCGAGCCTAGGCGAAGCCGCGGCCCGGCGGCCGCCGGGGGCAGGCTCGTCCCTGGCTCTGTTTGGGGGCCCGAGGCACCCCCAGTGGCCACCCCTGCCCGCCCCTGCTCCCCGAACGCGCCGATCTGGCCTTGCTCGCTCCCTAACAATTAACAACGGAGGGATCAGTTTTGTTTAGACAGTATGGAAAGAGGGTAAAAAGTGGGGGAGCAGAGAAGAAAGTGGTGGTGGGTAGAGGGGCGCAGAATGACACAGTGGGAGCAGTGACTGGGTGCCAAGGCCCTCATTTCGTTTTCTCAGAAAATTTCTGCGACTAGCCACTCGGTTCTGACTGGGGAAAGTCCAGCTCCTTAAAGGCAAATATTAAACCCACACACAGGCTCACCGTGCTGTTGTGGGGAACAAGGCCACCCCCTCATAGTTGGGTAATGCTGGAGGTGAAGGGCCACGATTCTAGCGGGACCTGGGGGGTGGGGTGGGGTGTTAGATAGAGGAGGTGCTGGGGAGCAGCTGAATGGGGGAAAACCCTGGGACCATGACTATAAGCATTGCTTGTCTCTATAATCACTCACAGAGAGACCCATAGAGGACAGTATGGCAGGGTGTGTGTGTGTGTGTGTGTGTGTGTGTGTGTGTGTGTGTGTGTGTGTGTGTGTGTGTGTGTGTGTGTGGATTCTCAAAGCCTGACACTCTGGGGAGGCAGGAGTTAATGTCCTTTGACAGGTGTGGGGACCCAGGCAGGGTGAGGCATCATCTCCTTCATATTAGCTTGGCAAGATTGAGAGAGCCCCCCCACACACACACCCATTTTCCACCCAGAGCATGAGGCACGTGGAGAATGTTCCCCTTTCAAATTCCAGTCCGCAACAATCACCCCCGTGTCCTATTCCAAGAACATCTGGCATGTCCCCCTCTAACACACCCATGCTGCCCCCCTCCCACCAGCCTCCATCCCTGGCTTTTTTGGCCTGCCTGCGTGTGTGCCTATAGACTTGAGGAAGCTTCCAGCTAGGAAGACAGAGCTATGGTGATCCCCATTCCGGGGATACTTGTAAATTTGTTGGGAGTAAGAAACATTTAAAAAAAAAAAGGTGTCTGTGAGCACCCAGTCCTCATGAAGCCAGAGCAGGCAGGTACAAGCCCTCTGCTGAGGGTCTTTTATAGAAAGACATGGCAGATTGACTCCCAAGTGCCACCTGGGGGTTCTCTACCTTTCCCCAAGAAGTGGCACAGATTGGGGGTGAACAAGATACTGGGACCAGAGCCCCGTTTCTGGAGTCCTGCTTCTTGGCTCCTAAGAGGCAACTGAGAAGACAGCAGTCATAAAGTGACCTGTTTCATGGCCTAATCTCTGCTTTCCGCCCTGCAGAGGTGCCTTGGAGAAGCCACGGGAACACCCCTGGAGACCACTCCTGGATTTTGCCAGGTAGGGAGACGCTGAGGTCATCTTGAGGTGCCCACTGAAGAGCCACCAGAGCATATAGGCGGGGTAGGGTGGGGGAAAGGACACGCATGTTCTCCGTCCTCTACGTGACTCTCCACGGAGCCTTCCCCTGGCCTTATTTAGTCAAAGTGAAGAGGCTGATACACAGTTCCGGGTCAACCTAGGACTCAAAAGTGCTCAACCCACCCTCAGCCGGGACCAGCAACAGGATTCTCCCTCTAAGGCCCTCTCTTTTCCTCTATTTTCAGTCCCTGTCCCCCACCCCCTGAGGTAGGAAGGAACCTACTACACCCTTAGAATGTTATTGGGAGGGGGCTACGGTTTCCTCTAGGCAGGGCTTGACCCACCAGACTTCAGCACTAAGTGCGCCTCAGTCCCTGCCCTGCCCCACCACCATGGCAGTCCAAGTCTTTCTGGGCTTAAAAGCTCCAATTCTGAAGAAATTAAATACCCTTTAAGATTCAGATTCACCCATTAAGCCTGGCCAGCACCGTTAGCCAGGGGCTCTGTCTGCCTCCCTTCAGGCCACGGGTCTTCCTTGTCTTTCCCCAGCTCAGGTGTTGCCCTAGCTTGGGAACAAGCCCAGCATTTCGCACACCCAGCTCCTCTCTGAGGGTCCCCGGTATGCTCTCCTTCATTCCCTGCCGGAGGGACAGACGCCTGCTGCAGAGGCCACACTCTGCTGGGGACCTGGCCACCACACTGGGACTCCACACCAGGAAGACCCAGGCAGTGCTCTATGTTATCCTGCAAGCCTGGGAAGTCACTACCAGAACCTCCGACATGAGGATTGCACCACCAGGCTGACCAACACACCCCAAACCAAAAGTAAGTAAGAGCTGCTGTGGGGGCACTGGAGGGGGGTGTGTGTGCTGGGTGGAGATAGACTGAGGCCACACCACTGTGTTAATTGCTTTAGTGTCAGAACCAACCTTTAAAAGGAGGTTTTCGGCTTCTCTTTGGCATGGGCCTGATAGCCTGGAAGGGGGGTAGGAGTTTACCTGCTGGGCCCCACCCTGCCGACTCTGGGAAGCCTGTAGTACTTGAGGCTTAGGCACAAGGACACAGACCCACACGCGGCTCCCCCTCCCCTAACCTCCACTGCTCGGCCTTCCTGACAGAGCTTTTGCCTTCCTGATCCCCAGTACCTGAGCAGTGAACTGCAGGGGCCACCAAGCAGCAGAGCTTATTCCAGCAGAGTCCACAATGCTTCTGGCCCCAGGCCCTTTCTTGCTGCCTCCCATCCCCATTCACGCACAGGAAACCCATGGCCTCCAGAACACAATGGAATCAGGACATGAGCTCTCCTAAGGCCCTTCACAGGTCTCACAATGTCTCTTTGGTCATTATTTCATTTGCTATTCACAGTTCAGCCAGGAGGTCTGAGACTGTCACACACTTTGACAAATGGGGATAGACACAGAGAGGTCAAGCCACTAGTGCTGGGCCTCCACAGCTGCAACTGCATAGCCAGGGGGAGGGGGAACAGGGACCCCCATGCCCAGCTTTCCTCAGTCTCTCAATTCCTTCTAGCTAACCGTTTCTTCTTTTTTTTTTTCTTTCCTCAGATTCTTTCCTCATCTGGAACCTCTGCCTTTCCCTCTTGGGCTGTTTGACCTTTAACCCTCAGCCCTTGCCACCTTTGCTCCGGGACTCCTGGGAGCACAGCTTCAAGGATCTACAGGCTACAGAGACTGCTGGATGACTGCTCTGCCTATACCCTGTGCTCCCAAGGAGAGGCACGTGGAGCCCACCTGAATTCCAGATACCGACTGTGTGACTGAACAGATTTCCTAGCCTCTGCTAGTCCCTTGGCTGCAGGGGACTTGGCTGAGCCCAGTATCTGTAGCCGTCCAGATGTGACTCCTATGCTAGAGATGCCTCTGCCCTACTGGGCGCATGATGGACACTCACCTCTGGGGAAGGACTGGGGCTGGTGGGCGGCTTGGTTCAGTTCTGGGAGCGTGGAGATCTTCTGGGCCACAGGCCACAGCAGGTGGCCCTGGGGCTGGACTCACGAGCTGCTCTGGCTGGTTGCTGCTCAGGTTTCGGCTCAGGTCCTGGCTCAGGCCCTGGCTCAGGCCCTGGCTCACGCCTCGGCTCAGACTTAGGCTCAGGCCCTGGCTCACGCCTCCGCTCAGACTTAGGCTCAGGCCTTGGCTCACGCCTCGGCTCAGACTTAGGCACAGGCCTTGGCTCATGCCTCGGCTCATGCCTGGGCTCACGCCTCGGCTCACGCCTGGGCTCACGCTTTGGCTCAGGCTTAGGCACAGGCCTTGGCTCAGGCCTAGGCTCATGCTTAGGCACAGGCCTTGGCTCCAACTTAGGCACAGGCCTTGGCTCAGGCCTCGGCTCCAGTGTAGATGCAGGCCTTGGTGGAGGTACCGGCACGGGCCTCGGCTCAGGCCTTGGTGGAGGTACCGGCACGGGCCTCGGCTCAGGCCTTGGTGGCGGTATCGGCACAGGTCTCGGTGCAGGCTTGGTTGCATACTGGGCAACAGGTTTAAACGCCGAAGGAGATGGAGGACCCTGGGCTATGGGCTTGGGTTCCTCCTCCTGCACAATGACCTCGAGCTCGCTGGTGACTACGCGGCCCCTGGGGAGAAGCAAAAGTCCTTGAGATTATCTCAAAAAAACGAGTCTTCTCCAGCTGAGTCTTGCCCCCCTCCCACATTGCTGCTGGATAGGGAAGCCTGTGGGTCAACTTGTCAGGGTTGCTTCCCTCCCCGCCCAGTCCCTTCAGCTGCCTAACTACCCCCACCCCACCCCCACCCTCCCAAGTAGAAGGGAGAAAGCAGTTGGTGAGAAGTCACTTTGCCAAGTTTGACAACTGCTCGGGGAGAGGCAGGAGACCCTCCTTTGGGAAGGGCAAGCTGGCCCCTTCCTAATTAGGGATGGGCTTCTGCCTTGGCACAGGTAGTGGTGCTGCACACAAAAGGCTTTCTTTGAGGGGTCACAGCTAAAACTATGAAAGTCTTCCACTCCTCTCCTCACACCCCCACCTTGGATAGGAACAAAAGTCAAAAGGGCACATGGCTGTGCTTTGGGAAGGCAGCCTCTGGAAGGGTGGTAGGGCTTCTCTAGGAAATAGCCCCCCTCCCCATAAATGCTATCCTGGGTGGATTAAGGTGTCTGGGATCCCAGCTGCAGGGAAGAAAAACTTTATGCACAAATGAATGTGCACCCAGGAGTGCTGCTGCTGCCCCAAATTACTATTTGTTGACGGGGGCACTAGAGGGAAGGCGCGCAAAGCAGTCGGCATGGTCAGGACAGAAAGCAGCTTTTGTTTTTTAAACCCTGCTAGAGAATAGCAAGGGAAATCATCCTCTCTTGGTCCTTCTCCTTGCTCTCCAGTATCCTGGTGGTAGTTAGGAGGTATAGGATATAGATGGGGAAGCTTTGCTTTTAAGATTATATATATATGCGTGTATATATATTCATTTTATATATGCATGTATGTATAATACATACCCCACACTGCTCTAGAATCTCTAGCCCCTCTGCACATTTGGGGGGGGGGGAGAGTGGAGACGAGTGGGCACCAAGGGGAAATTTTTCACACAGAAAAACTCTTTCCTTCCACATTTGTGAAAACAGCTGTGTACTCCCGCTGGGAAGAGCAAGAGACCTGCCTCTCCCCTTTTGCATGGTAAATTAGTGAAGAGAAACTTACTTTCCTTGTAGCTTTGTGCAGCCCTGTAAGTCCCCTCCCCAATTGTCTTTCCTGTCCCTGCAGAAGTTAAAGTTTCTCTTAGACCCGTCCGCGCTACACTTAGACCCGTTCACGTTACAGCCCCCCGCCCCCACTCCAGTCCGATCCAGCAGCAATCTTCCCCTCTTCAGAGACCAGGATCCTAACTGCCCCAAATCCCCAGCCCACTTAACTGTATCAGAATATTTAAACTACAATTTCACTCATACACAGAAGGAATGAAAAGCCAATTAGTTACCTGTACTCTAGTCGCTTTGAAGTCCCCGAAGTCCCCGGACGGTGGAGAAAGAGGACAGGGGGCTCACTGGTGCCAAGGATTCTCTTCCGCAATTCCTTGGGTGATGAGCTGCTGGCTGGGCCAGGATTAGCAACCTCCTCCAAAGCAGGGGGTGCTCTGGTTGTGGTGCCCAGACACTCCAGCTGAGTTGAAGTTGAGGGAGAGGTGGAAGGGGACGAGGCTGAGGCTGAGGCTGAAGATCCGGTGAGAGGGTCTTTTGGAGCTTGCATGATAACAGGGCCGCTAGCCGTAGGCTCTGCTCTCCACCACCGAGCAAGGCACCTGCTCAAATGCTAACTGACTGGCTTTGCCACTCACCTCCTTGTCCTCTCCGCGCTGGTCTGCAGACCCCTCCAAATTTGGAAAATTATATACTAGCACAGTGCAGCAAAGACTTCTGGGGCAGCTGACGATGGCAATTCCCCCCACCCCCCAGGGTATGCGGGCATTAGGGGGCGGGGCTTTGGCCCATGCCTGATATGCGGAAGGACCTCTATGTGGGTAGGAACATAAGCTAGAAACACTTCCTATTTGCTAGGGGGTTGGGACTAAGTGCAGGGGGTGGGGAATGGGTGGGGCTTCACTAGAGTGACACTTGATAGTCACTTGACACCCTGGAATGTTGTGGGCGTGGCACAGGTAAAAAGGGGGCGTGGCTTATTCAAATTAGAAGGAAGGTTCAAAATACATATTAAAATTACTTTTTAAGTACTTCCGGTGCATCTGTGTGGCACAGCGCCATCTTGGCGTCGTTTCATGTTTCATGGGTACTCAACTTAGAGTCATCAGTCATCTGACCTGGCCCCCTGCCCTCTATGAGTGGTGCCAAGCACTTAGTATACTGGTACAGATGGCATGTATAGTGACACTTGTTCGTCCTTTCTGGAATGTTGCTTGGCTGGGTTCTCACCCCGTTTTCGCTTAGCTGCAACTCCATTTAAGGCACAGCCTGAGGGCTGACAGCAGCTGGGACGGGACTCAGATACAAGCATTGCCTGAAGTCTCGTTTGTACTTTGAAACCTTTGTCCCTGGCTTTGAGGGAGAGCAGGGAGTACAGCAAAGGCTCAAAAACACTGGTTCACTCCACAGAAACCCACTAGTCCGTACCCTTTGCACTCCAGCTAATATTTTTATCTTACTCAGCTTATCAGCCCAGGCTAAGATTTAATTATTCCCTCTCCCTTTGTTATCTAAGTCCCCCCTGAACTCCTTACTTAGTGGTAGAGATAGGCATGTTTGGGGAGAATGAAACTTTCTGTAGGGGAAGATAATTAAACTTTAGGGGAATTCATATCTGATGGGGGTGGCTCAGCATGATACAGACATCCTATTCCATGGGAGAAGGGCAGGTGGAATTTCTCACTATACTTATGGGTGGCCTCAAGTCATATCTGAGATACATAGCAGAGGGCATCTCACACTTCACAGAGGTGAGGCAGTCCTTTCCTTGTAAAGATTCTAACTTTACTTCGGGGCCTCTAATTAGAAGTGCTCCCCTAATAAGCATGTGCTCCCCTCCATTGCCTGCTGCAATATGCCTGGACATTGCAAGATGTTACCACTAGGGCCTTCTGGGAACGTTTGGCTGGGATTTACCAAGCCAGAGGTGTTGGCATGGGGAAGGCAAAGGCTTATTCCAAACCCATGAAGAGATTCCTTGGTAGTGCCACAAGAGGAGGTGCCCTCTGAGCAGGTAGAAGGCCAAGGGGCTAGAAGGAAAAGCTGGCTACATCCCACAAGTCACATGCAGAGAAGCAGAGCTGTACTCCTTCCAAATGAATCCAAGCTCTGTCCCCCTGAATTTCTACCTCTGACTAAGCCCAGGGCTATTTTTATTCTATTAGGGTCTTAGAACACAGAATGTTTAAGGAAGGGGAGAATACAGGTGAAGAGTGCCCATGGAAGAACAACTAAACCACGGTGCCACTGAGGCAGGAATGGGGTGCTAGGCATCAGTGAGTTATGGTTTGAGGGGAATGACCCTTCATAATTATATTTTATGGATGTTCCATGGTTGAGGGACACAGTCTAGGGGACCCCAGAGGAAGGGACCACACAAGAACAAATATTGGGGTACAGCCATGAAGACACAGCACAGAAACAATTTACTCACTCGAGGTTTGGAGAGAAGAGAGTCATCTAACTCAGGGGGTCTGTCTGGGCTCTCATTTATGGAAAAGCACTGAGGTACCCCTAGAAATCCCTAGCATCTAATTTTCCTTGCCGGGCTGCTAAAGTGGCCTCATGCTGACATCTGGTGGCCATATCTGTAATTACAATGCACAATCTAAAGTTCTTACTGCAGAAATTTGGGGGTACTCAGCAGGGGGAATTAGGGAGAGGCAAAGCTACAACTCTTCTGTAGCCTTGTACTGGGGCTTTTTTTTGCCTCTACCCTATCAGGCATTTTTTCTTTGCATATCTTCCTGTCCTAGGGCTTGGGAACATCCCAAACAACATAAACCTCAAACACCTTGTTCTAAGTTCTAAGTTCTAAGTTTAGTTCTAAGAAAATTGTCATATTTATATTAAAATTAATTTTATTATGGGATCTTTCTAGGTATAATTCCAGGATCCCAGATAAGAGGTGGGGTCCCTGGGAAGAACTAGGGTGGGCTAAATTTTGTTCTTAATTCCCATTGGCAGCCCCACCACCGTGTACCTGGAAAGGGAATTTGCAAACCTGGCTCAAGCTTGCCATCTGGTGGTCATTTAGGAAATTACACTGAGGCCTCAGAGGACGTCTCTCTCCCCACAATCATAATTACAGGGTGCTTTATTAAGCCTTGGGAATGGGGAGAAGAAGAGGGCAGGTGTTAGGGCTGGGAATGTAGTTCAGTGGTAGAGTATCTTGCAAGCATGAGGCTCTGATTCAATCCATTGCCCAGAAAAAAACCCCTCTTATCCTACCTGCATAGAACGTGTTCCTAGCCCCTGCACATTGACCTCCTCCCCTTGGCAGACTGGCAAAGACTAAGACCACCTTCTCAAAAGCTACAAGGCCACAGCTGAGAATCCAGAAAACTCTGTGCTTGGGGATGAGGGACCCATTCTATCTACTTCTATGCACTGTGCATCATATGGGAATAGAGTGGGCACAAGGGGTTGGTGCCTGCCTAGGTTCAAATACCTACCTAGTCTGCTCATTACTTTGGGCAATATACCTAGAGCCTCCATTTTCCCTCCTGACATCACAGGTTGTTCTGGAACCATGTGGAAATGTAGCTGAAACAATCCAGAACCTATTACCATGAGAGACCTGTCCCTAAAGGCTCTTTTACCTATTCAGACAAAACATTACTCCAGATGGGACTCTGGGATTTGGGGTGGAAAACTGGCTATGGCTGCCTTGAGAGCTGAGCAAAGATTTCAAAGAACAGCAAAGACCTCCTTGCCCCAGCACACACAGTGGACCTCGGAACCAGAGAACTCCCTCATCTGCAGCATGGGACTACTGGTCTCTCCCAAGAGCTTGCTCTTGGCTAAACCCTTTCTCCCTGATTCACTCTGAGATGAGTAGAGGCCTCTGTCCTCCATCCCTGGGGATCCTGTCCCCTAGGGTATGGTGCTCCCCTCTAACCATGGCTCTCCTGGGAGCATATGCAGGAAGTACACCAGCTTCCTTTTCTCCACAAAACCCACGTGGGAGCCTGTGCTAGCTCCAGGAGACGAAAGCCAGAGACTCCCAGATCCAAGACATAACCCTCCACCAGTCTGACCCATTAGCCCTCAGGATTCAGCCCCACTGACCCAGGGAGGCTGAGGGTGAAAGGGGAGCTGAGAGCCTCTTCTTACACCCACAACACACACACACACACACACACACACACACACACACACACACACACACCACACACACACACACACAACACACACACACACACCACACACACACACACACACAACACACACACACACAACACACACACACACACACACACACACACACAACACACACACACACACACACATTGTACAATTTGTGGCTATAGCCACCCCCTGTTTATACCATGGCCAGCCCATATGCCAGGCCTTAGGGAAGAGCTCAGCATAAGGCCAATAATGACTCTTAGCAGTGCCTGGCTAGGGATTATAGGGAGGCCAGAGTGGACCTGCCTCAAGGCTACAGACTGTAGAGCACGGATATTGCTTCAGAAAGCCTTCCCATCACTCCCTTCTTCCTTGCTTTTAAGGTCTAACTATGCAGCTGGAGTTGGGATATGGGGGTCTCTCCTTTGTTGACTCTCTCTCAGCTCTTCTTCCAACTCAGCCAGCCCCTCCCATCTCCTTTCCAGGATCTGGGTTCAGGTGGAGGCAATTCACCTTCTACCAGTTCCCTAGCCCTGCCAACGGAAGCTATGCTTGGTCCTCAGAAGTCAGGCCTGGAGAAGATCAGTCAGCAATGGCCAGAGCACAGATTTGAGTGCCTCAATGTACCCCTGGTCCCCAGGTCCATTCTCACTACTTCTGGGTTACCAGGTGTTGCTGACCCATGCTAAGGACCTGTGCCCCAGCGAAGCTATGAGGAGTCTTCCAGGTCCCCAGCAGTCCAGGTCACAGTAGGTCTTAGGGATGGACAGAAGACCAGAGACCCAGCTGGAGTAGAACTCAGTTCTAAGCCAGGGTGGCCCTTTGAAGAGCAGAGGGGGAGTGCCAGGGCCCCAGCATGAACAGTCGCAAGCTGGCAGGGCTGAGAGCTCCCACTCTGCTGTCCACAAACACAGATGGGCTGGGAGAGTCAGAGGGAGGTCCTGGTGGAATGTGGGTCATTGTCAGCCATAGGATTCTAAGCTTCGCAGGACTGTGGGGGAATGAGGCCTAACAGAACCATGAGGGTCTGCGGATGTCCAGGCTTGGCAGCTTTCAGACCTACTTCTGTCATTGGCAAAATACAGGTATGTCTGGGAAATAATCCACCAATAGTCCACAGAGAGGAGGCACACATGGCCATTGGGACCTGACTGGTTCAGCCAACCAGAGTCAGTGGCCTTGGCCCAGAGGTTGGATCTAGTCATTTTGAGAATATGGATGAGGCACTGGACGGATGCTGCATCACTGTGACAATTCTCAGTCTGAGGAGCCCTGGCTTAGGTCCTTTTTGGAGAGAGAGGCTTGTTGGTAACCCTATGTCTCAGCCCAAGCCCAGATTCAAGGATCAGCCTCAAGGGTATTCAGATCAGGGGCTGGGTTCTGGCTACCCACAGCAGAAGGGTGGCAGGTGAGGTGTTTGTACCAAGGAATATGTGTGTGTGTGGGGGGGGGTGAGGGGGCCACCTGGGGGCCAGGCAGTGAGCCAATGACTCTAAGGGGACTGGCTCAACGCCACTGGGTAACTTGGCGCCAGCACAGCGTGACTGGACCACACAGGGCCGCCTCCACAGCTTCACTTTCGAAGGAATCTGCCTTGCTGTTCTGTGGCCAAGCCAGAAACAATAGTGGGGGGGCGGGGGGGGGGGAAGAAGAGTGACACCGTGTCCAGGCTGTTCTTCAACTCTCAGACCCCTGGCCACGCCACCCCCAGCATTCTTTTCAAAATTGACCTTCCTTTCCTCTCAGCACTGGGCAGAAGGTAGACATGGGAAAGGGCTGACCCTGTCCCAGATGGGCCTTGCATGAGGCATCCTACACCCTGGGGGTCCCTGTAGACCCAGCTTCATGTGAAAACCAGGATTTAGCCTTCCAGCCTGTGTGCCCAAGAAAACTCCAAGCAGAGCAAGAGACCACTGGCTCCTCTGGCTCCCGGTCTCAGTGCCTGCTAGGGTTCTGGGGAGCTACCACCAAGGTCCTAGCTGGAAACAGACAGTCTGTGCCCCTGGCCTGTTTGCTTAGCTGTAGTGTGGGGAGTTGCATGGATTGCCCCATACTCTCCTCTAGGCAGCTGTAATTCAAGGCAGGCAGTAGATGACTGTAACCTGAGACATTCTAGGAATATTGCAGACCCCTGGACATTTGTTCATCTGCTCCATGGGCATCTAGGGAGTCTAGACCCCCCAAAGGTCACACCAAGCATGATCAGACACCTCTCGTTCTCAAACTTCATACCTTCCAGAGTCCAGAGCAGCCAGCCTTTTGGGAAGCCTCTTGGTCCGCGGGAGCGCAGAAGAGCAAAGGGAGGAACGCAGTCTCAACAAGGGCA